CGCCAGTGGCAATCAATACGCTATAAGCGTGTGCAAAATATGACAGTCTATAAACTACCATAAGGACGGATAAACGGAGGTCCACTAGGTAAGGAAACTTTTAATAAGGATTCTATAAGCAAACAAGATAAAAAATGAAGGTCCATTAGACTTTATACAAAATATCACACCTAAATGAATTTAGTAGTAATGGCTTGTTCTTCTAAATAAAAGCAAACTAAAAGTGGAGGTGGAGCAAAGCTTCGACGAGGGCCATAATTCGGCCAAATTTGGGAGACTAAATAAGGAATTTACTCCACGAAAGCAAAGTAGCAGACTCAGTAGAAAGCTTTCTTGTACTGAACACCCCATGTAGCATTGAGCCGGGCTGAATGCAATATTCAATAAATACATGCTAAGAATGAATTCATTTATTAATTTATGAAAAAGTAGACTTACTAACTCAAAGTTAAAGTGGTGTTATGCAAAATATGGAGATAGGAAAGCCAACACGATCTTTTTAAGGAATATAGCTTCATAGGCAAAATAATTTAGTTCAAGTGAGATATGGATGGGATTATATCCAAGAAGTCATGACAACGAACCTGCGAGGGTCTACAAACGGGAAGAGGAGTAGCAATCGATGTTCCAATTTCAGGCCCAGATGGATTATCAGTTGACTGGATTTCCAGGCCAATATACCTGGATTTGCGTAGTGGATAAATCATGGAGCCCGCCGGAGGCAGAGGTCTAGGTGGTGGTGGGGAAGGAGCAGGACGGCTTGCAGAGGTGATGGAGGAACAACAATTGGGAACAGATGATAATGAAAACTTCGGATTCATGAGCACGAAGTTATGTGGAGAGGCACCTTGGTTCTGATGAGAAAAATCAGCTGGCAACAATCGCCTGCCTGATTGTCGGGTGGCTACAAAAGCTGATCCCAAATTGACTTGATCAGACAATGCATGGGCTGGCGATGGAAGGTGGAATACTTTATGGCTTGGCTTTGATTGCTCGAATCTCCATGCAGCTTTAGTCTCATCCTCTTCGGGTTCATCTTCCACTTCATCTTCTGAGGTGTCGACATATACACTATTTGGGATCTGAGCTCCCCACATGCTATGAGCGGCCTTAGGACGGGCAGCAGATAGCCCCCCCTCACAGTTACCCCAATAAGTCCTCGGGATGTATGCATTGGAGGATGAGGCATAGGGGTAAGGATAATTACGAACTGTACTAGCAAGCCTCGGTAAAGGCATAGGCAAGACGAGGGGTGCGTCAGAAAGCCCATTCACTGTGGTGTTTAGCACAGTTGTAATGCGCGAACAAGTAGGATGGGGAGAGGTGGAGTTCGGAGAAGAGATAAAGGAAATTGAAGACATTGGTTCTGTAGGGGGCATCATTGTAGGCCTGAGGAAAATTGAGAAAACGAGATGAATAGAGTTTAAGGGTTATATCAGAGAAATAAATTTAAAATCTCAAAAAAGAAGCTACTTGAAGGCAAGATCGCAATATAGATTAATTATATCAAGTTTAAATATAAGTCTAGCTAGCATGAGGCAGTTCTGTGCCATTGTGAACGTCAAGTCTAGGATGTCTCTAGTTGAAATAAATAGAAGAAATAGAGATTTATAAGTATTTTTCATAGAATTGATTTAAATTAATTACAGAAGTTGTCTGACCTTGTTTTCGCAACTTGGTCATATCGGTAGGAAGACTTAAAGGAACGCACCTAGTG